TTTCTGACAGTCAAAGACTAGCAGAAGACGGTCAAACTGATCAGTAAATAAAAATAAAAAAACAAGCAATTCTTATTCGATTCAGAATTACTTGAAATATATCTAATGGCTATTATTCAAACTAAGAAGTAATAATTTTAAATTATAAGGCAAAGCTACAATTATCATGAAAAGAAAATAAAAGTAAAAATAGAAGATTCAAAGTTCCAATATAGTCTTTAAAAATTTTTGACAACGCCAAACCTTGGAAAGAATGCCGTTAAAGCCGCAAATAATTATTTATACAGGTTTTCTGAAAAAAAGTAAGATTTTGGCATACAAATAAAGAGATATTTTTATATTCTTTTATTAAGTAATATAACAATTTTTTAAGGTCATAAGTTTTTAAAAATTTTACTTCGACTTTACAAAGATATATAGCTCAAGAACGATGTTTAGTGATATCCATCTTTTGTTATATTGACGAACTTTTCTTTTAGTTGCTTTTACATTCACACATTTTTAAAGTTTAAAACAGTTGTTAGTTAAACCCTTAATACTATCACATCTACATCAAAATATAGACAGAAGTGAAAAACCAGAAACTGTTGGTATGTATTATTTAATTTATGTGCAACAAAAAATTCAAAAAAAAGTAATTTCAACATCTTTAAATAATACATTATGACAGTTAACGTAAGATCTAGTAAAACAACTAATAAGTGTAAGAATTTACATACATAATATCATATTGTACTTCTTAACAAAGTTATTTAAGGCTGTAGGGAGTATACAAGCATTAAATAAATGTAAATAATATCGAATCTATTCAGTTCACACAATATTAAATTGATAAAAAAATTTAATAATTAAAATAGTATCAATTTGCTTATTCTTTTTTTCCCTCAACAGACATAATTTACCATCAATAGACTAAACAAATTAAGTTAATAATAAAGTTGTTTTATTAACCAATGGAATCCCTTCTGATGACCAAGAATAAACATTTGTAATTTTTGTTTTCATTCATAATACTTTCATCAAACTTTGTAATGAAGACAAACCTCACCACCCATTCTCACTACCTTAAAAGTCATAGTTTTTGCCTTCAGCTCTCCTTCAGTTCCTTTTTCCCTTAAACTGCCATCGTTGTTTACGTACAGTAACAAATGAGTCATAAACTTTTTGACGTGCTAATTAACGAAGAATTTTGTAGTAAATTTTGTAAAGAAAATAGAAAAAGTTTTGAATGGATTTATAAGCATATGAAATTTAATGACCATACAGTTTTCAAACTTATTTTCTGCATTTTATTATTTAAATAACACATTGAGCAACAATAGCGTTACCTTAAGCATAATTTGAGTTTGTGTTTGCTTCCCATATGTTTCACTAGGTCATGTAGAAGATCGTAAAAAACTTGAAAAGTAAGTTATATATAACTTATATATATCACAGTGTAACAAATGTAAAATAAGGTAAATTTTTAAGTGATTTAAAATCGTTTTAGTCAAACATATAAGATCTTTAAAATAGAACATACTTATTTCAAGTTTAACATCTGGAAAGTCATCAAAATTTGAAGTGTCATCAATGGATCGGACTTCTACTGGAATTGCCGCTGGTCTTTCTCTAATATGGTCCCAGTCAACTCCACGAAAGAAATTGACTAACTTTATCTCGTCTATTCCTCTTTGAGATCCTAAAACAGATTTTTAGCAATTTAACGATATCAAGAACTAGATGTCAGACTCAAAAATACGTGCAAACAGAGTCATGAGCTTTGAAGAAAAATACTTTTTTCTGTTTTATAATTAAATATTTTTTGTAAATAACTAGATATGTTCACACGTGCACAGAGCGAAGAATCATTCACTAAGGAGGGGACAAGCAGTATATCAACAGAGCCAACTCAGATGATTGATAAAAAAGGAGCCAACTCAAATCTGGGTTGAAAAAGCAGTCAACTCAAATTTAGCTAGATAAAGGAGCCAATTCAGATTCGGGTTCAAGAAGCAGCCAACTGAAGTGTAATTTTTTTCATCAAGTTTTGTCGTGGCAGCACCGACATTTACAGGATAGGTATACCTATACAAACGTATATTATTTTTAATAAGTTTTAACGCTATGTTGTGTGTCAGTTGGTGTAAAGGCCAACGGCCAAGCAACTAGCTCCTATTAGAAAAAATCAAGTTTTAACGCTATGTTGTGTGCCAGTTGATGTAAATGCTAACGATCAGGCAACTAGCTCCTATTTAAAACCCACGTTGTGTGCCACTAGTGAAAAATGCTGGTGGCCAAAGGACTAGCTTAGTTTAAAAGGGAAACAACCTACAAGTCCTTTATAAATAGCGGATTGCGTGCCATTGGTGCAAATGTCAATAGCCAAGTAGCTAGCTAGCTTCCCCTACAATTATTAACTCTGTCCCAACCTTAGTGCACCGTTTCCAACTCTTCCATTCATGTCCCCAAGCTATTGGGTGAAAGCTTAGGCTTGGATATAAAATTTACTGTTACGCCATCTTTGACGTAACAACTTCATACAAGTATTCAAACTGGTTTATTTCTTCATACCCTGTAAAAAAAATTGCAAGCTGTTGTGCAAAATATCCTACAAGATACCAAGACATGCTTTTCAAGAGTATTCAGCGTTTCCGTTGTTAAAATCAATGTTTTAACACATACATATAAGTACTCATGTAGGTATATTTAAGGGCATTCAATATATCATTGGGAGTTTCTACTTTACGACAACCTTACTTTAAGTAACTTTTAATAATCATTAATTTTATGCTTATGTGAACGAAAAACTATGACAAAATCCACCAAGCTAATGCTCTGAGAAATAAATTAAGCCAAAACTTATTGTTATTAACTACAAGTTGATGAAAAAAGGTTGTATTATGTGATAATTATTGTCATGTACTCTGAACAATAATCGCAAAATAAAAATTTTCTCTTTCAATTCACTTTTTTTTACAATATCTTAGGGCTTCATGAATATGTCAACTTACAAGCTTTGTGTGTCAATTAATTATTTTTTGTAAAAATAGCTGTGAAATAAATGAAACAGCCAATTTATTGAAATGGAAAAGCCTGTAAAGTCAAAACTCCATACGATACACTAAATTTTTTCAAACTGATTATGGACATTTTACATTTACACTAACACGGTGATACACTTTTATATCCTGAGGTGCAATTTTTTTTCATCAATTTTCAGCTAATATTTATAAGTTTGGGATTGATTTATTGCTCAAGGTATTAGTTCTTAGCATCTTCTGATTGCCTTATATTAAAATAAGCATGAAACTAATAATTATTAAAAATCAATCAAAGTATTGTATCGGTAAAGTAGAAACTCAGGATGTCCTTAAGGACGTTTATCACACATAGCGTTTTGGGTACAGTCTTCCTGAAATTTTATCAGGATGCTCGCAATGATATTAGAAAGTCACATGTAAAATTTGAGACCGTTTCACAACACAGTTTTTTAGATGTCGAATGTTGAAAAAACTTTAATTTAATACGTCATCTGATGGAGGAGTAATGTACAAATGCAATTAATTAGAAAACAGTATGTAGAATTTTTACAACTTTTTTTTGCATGACGCAATGCCATAAAACTGGTATTATAATAAATTTTTAGAGAAATCGACAAATTTTTTTTGCAATTAAGTAAAAAAACAGTGTCAGACGCCTATATACAGGTATACAAATGTATGCAAAACAGTTGCCGGCGCTACCGCATTTTCGCTCCCCCCTCACTGCACTCTCTACATTTCCCCTCTAACTGCGATAAACGTCCTTAAATAAAGTGGTAAAGCATGTAATTTATAACTGTTAAAGTAAAAGCAATTTACAAAACTTGAAATTGAAAACCAAAACTAAGTCTCTGATGCCTCTTGGAAAGTGTTATTGTCACTGTCATGATTCTTGCATGAAAAAGGACTTCTAAGATTGTTCAATAATCGTGTAGATGTATTAACTTTGTAGAGTAGTATTAAAAAATCTTAAGATTATTACATTCAAAAAGAGAAAAATAAATTTTATCAGGCACGACAAACGGCAACTAAAAGCATAGCAGACTTGGTTGCTCGGCTCAAGTTACCAGCACTATACAGTAATTTTACAGACATCGAAAACAAATCGAGGGATCAGTTAGTATGTGGATAGCTGATCACGGTACAAAGACTTTGCTTTTCAAAGAAGAAAAATTAAAATACATTCAGGCATATAAAATAACTAGCCGCCACCCGTCTCGGCTCCACCCGAGACTTACTACATGGAACACCGTAGTTGTTGACATGTAATGTGAAACGTTTTCAGTTAGAAATTGTATATATATTCCTGACACTTGTCAGAACAAAAGTCTTCTTATTAAAAACATATTTGTTTGGAATTCATACAGTTTATTTGGTCAAATAATAAGCTGTAAAAAAAACAAAAAATATAATTATGCTGAAAGTACCGTTCGTTTCTTGGGCCATAAAATAATCGTTGGCCATCAGGAGCCGTTGATTTGCAGTTTCTTCTGTGTAATTGACGAAAAGGGCTATTTTGTAAAGCTGTTAAAATTTTAAAATCCCAGAAAATATGTATTAAAAAAAATTTTTTTTCTCTTGTCCTACAACTTTATTACCAGAGCAACAAAGTCCTGGAGCTTCAACTCTACATTTTTTATTGCCACAAAAACATAAAAACATTTTCTACTTGTTTAAAAATCTGAATTTAGATCATTAAAGATTTGAGAGATTACTGTAAGGGTACAATGAAAAGCTGATCACTCACGTAATAGATTATTTATTTGTCAAATATGACGCTGCTGTTCCAATCTCGATAAATTTTCTGCATCAGTTTCTTGATGCCTGAAATTATATTTATTAGATACACTTGAAGTTTTTCTTCCAATTCACCCCCTTGCGACTTTTGGCATGCTTAAGACTTTTGTGACCCCTAAAGCCTGTTTTCTGTCAACTTTGTTAAGTTCTAATAAATTTGTTGGCAAGATAGTTCGACGTCCAATGGCCCTAAAGAAGAATAGTGAGCTTCCTAAGTAAACTCTTTATTGACTGAAGTTGACAGCAATTGTGACTGTCTAGATACCTCAGGGTGATCTTCTCTGGCCTGCTGTTGAAGCCCCAGACTGATCGGGAGAAAAATTACAAAGTCCGAAGCTTTTGATCTAGTTGTGGAGATTTTTCTCAACGTTTCCTGGTATAACGTCGAAGACGTTGGTGTCTAAAGCACCTTTTTTCTGCAGACTCAGTTGTTTTGGTGATCTAAGATGGGGAGATTGGTTCGTGATGCTTGCCCGCTGGAGACTGTTCCAGTAGCTCAAGTTTCCCTTTATAGCTGTTAGATACACCCACCGCAGGCCTTGGAAAGGATTGGTGATTCCTGGTTAAATACTGAGAGTGAAGAGGGTAATGTAGGGTCGTCGATCACCGGGGTCCCCAGCCTTTCGAAGAACAACTCCGCTCATGACGACTAACAGTGAATGACTGACTTGGTTTAATAGTGGCCGTCTTTAGTTAACATAGCCTTTTAGTCGATAATTCGTTTTCGGAAGTGGTTCCCGTTCGCCTCAGGGCTGTCTTTCTTAGCTTACAATTGTACCCAAAATTTCTCTTACGGCACCAGGCGGGATGGTGGAACGGCCACACAACTCTGAAGTGTTGAAGCAGATTGAGCTCTGTCTAGATACGTCTCCTTGTACTTTGCCGGAGACGTTATCGGTTAGAATAATTTCTTATTGGTGGCACTCATCAACCCTGGAGATGTCAGAGTGGATGTCGACTTAGGTCACTTGCCCATTAGAGAAGAGTGCCGTCGGTAACCAGGATACCCAGCTGCACGACTATCTTTAACCTTCTCGATGCAGCTTGATGTACTGTCGGTAGTCAACTACAAAAGTCTCTCGGGACGCTCCGGCATCTTATAACTACACTGATTTAATTATGTTACAGGTATCTTTGATTTTATGTCGAAGCCACCTAGCGGATCCTACTGAGCTAACGTGAAAAGCTGGCGTGTTTTCGCAAAACTTTGAGCCTATTTATTGCTATTGTTATCAACTTTTTCAAGATAAAAACTATACTAAAACCATCTAGGAAGTGTCAAGAATCAATATGCAAAATTTCAGCAAGATCGGTTGAGTAGTTTTCGAGGTTAGTGATTACAACGGTTTTATCGACTTTACCTTATATATTAGTAAGATAAGACTACAGCACATGAGCTGGCGGAAAAAATGCAGCAATCACAGATATAGTATTAACCTTGCAATGTAAAAACTATCCAAACGCTATATCAGCGACTAAATCCAACAAGCAGCATTTCTGTAAACAAGAAGGTCAAAATGAAGGTTGAAATCTTAGCAATGTTAGACCAGGCAATAAAAAAAATGAAAGGCCTTAAAATTATGGTAGATATGATAAAATGCAAGCAAAAGCAGTAAGCGAGATGTGAATTATAACTCAGATTCATCAACAACAAACTATGCAGAGGCAGATAATTTTTTCATTATCGAGTCGACCTTAAATTTCCAGCAGACGAGAGAAGCGGTGAATGTTTTGAATTTTAAATATATGAACGCTCAACCAATGTATTTAAATGTAAAAGTAAATGGAAAAGATTTAAGTATGCAAGTAGATACGGACGCATTTATATCAGTGATTTTAAAAGAAAAAGGAAATAAATTGT